TCTAACTCTTTGCTAAGTATAGTACCTAGTGCGCGATGTATCAATGTTTTTACTCGTAAGTCCTTGTGGAGTAGGGAAACATGTTCTTTAGCCGCGAAGGTGGATTGACTCGAACGGGCCTATATGGGGACGCTACAAGTGGAATGGTAGGGTACGCGGGGTGAAGGGATAAACCACGAGTGTTTGACTTTATGTATAATGTGAATGTGGTTGATTTTATGGATTGGGGATATATATTTGAATAATGTGGATGGGTGGAGTTATTGTCTAGTATTTTGTATTGTTTTCTATTAGCTTATCCTTGTATGTTTGTGGTTGTGGTGTCCATCTGTGATGATCCTTTTATACGGGAGCAAAAGATCATGCAGTTAGTTCGGAGGTTGTATAGTGCGACGAGTGGATTAAGAAAGTTAGAGAATTTATGGTTGTTTGAATAAACTATTTTGTTTGGAGTTTTATTTTGTAATTAAATTTGAATTTTGGTTTATTTTTCTTGAATTGTAAAGACTTATCAAATTTGGATTTCTGCAATAGTATTATGATTTTAAAAAATTTTAAATTTTCACTCAAAATTGTGGCATCCAAAAGTGGGGTGTTACATTTTCCTTCTTCAAACGTTTTCATAAAACCCTTTTTAAATACCATCATTTGAACATATCCTTTGTCTATCAATCATTTGCAAACCGATCGGACGTCATTTACAAAAAATTTTAAAAAAACTATTCCTCCCCTCTAATGTTTTATTATGTTTTCACCCCTCTCTTATATCAGATATTCCTTCAAATTTGTAACTTAAGATGATCAAATCCTAGGAGTGCTCTTTATGGTACTCTAGGCCTAGTGTTCACATAATGTAATCATAGATAGGGCAAAGGATGACAAGAAGTATGGCGAAAGTAAATAATATTCTTTTTTGGCTCCTTTATACCTTTGTACAAAAAGGGTAGAGTAGGTTCCTTCGCTTGTATTTTGCCTTTAGTAGCATAGGATTTCATAGACTTATATTTTGCCTCTCTTGTTTCTTTTTTAGTTTTTGTTGTAGAGAGGCTTATAGTTTCTTTTTTTCTTTAAGGTTCAAGCAATGTGGAACTTCACATAGTTTGGACTTAAAAGAAAGAAGAATAAATAAGTTTCTTCTCTTTTTAGTTGCTTGTATTGCAATATATCTCATGTATAGTTTTAGTTTTAATCTTTAGACTAGTTAGGTAGCTTATATATCCTTAAGAGGTCATAGAATTAAGAGATGTGACACTTAAAACAGCCTTGAGAGCCGCTATCCAGACTTGAAGGCCTCCAAGTCCCACATCCTTTAGTTTTCTCCACCTACTTCATCTCCTAGTGCTATATAAGCAACCTAAGCTCTCCTTTGTGCATACAACTTCAAATTTGAATAAAAATAATGTTTTGCATTCAATTGCATTACTTCTTTGAGATAGAATTTTGTCTCTTAGTCTAATTTTGGGTCTTATCTTATGAAGAACAAGTGGCGATCCCCCTTGGCATTTATCTTGGATCCTTTTAAGTGCCATGTCTTCCAAATCATAAGTTTACTCTCTTTTTTCTCTTACATTTTTAGTCTTTTTAATTTCATTTCTTAATTTTTTTAGTTTACCTCTTAGCTTATTTCTATCTAGGCATGTTGTTCCATATCACCACAGACTAGTATTTTGCTTACTGTCTATTATGAAACTTGTTAGTGACTGTGTACGACTCACTTGCATTACAAACAAGACTCTATTCCAATTACACATCTATGGCTTATTTAATCTTAAAACATAAAAGAAAATTAATTGGACCACAACTTAAGACAAGCTTTCACTCAATCTTAAGTCAGTTAAACAACATAAGTGATCAATTCATCCCACAATCAAGATAAATCAATGAACCACTTTAAATCAAATGAAAATTACATAAATGAAAGTGTCACCGAATATAAAAAAGTTTGAATCTGCTACATCATGCTCCAACACAATAGAGGTTTAGCTCCTTATGAATATTGAAAGAAGTACATGCAAGGAGGAAGAAAACATCACCTAATCCTCTAAGAATATGTCTTTGCATTACAAGGATTATGAGTTAAAAGACTCAGTAGAGTCTCTCTCTATAGTCATCCTAAGAAAGCTAAGACCGAATTCATTTTCTCTCTCTTGTTCCACTTCCCTTGAATATGTCCAAAATGTTCTTATTTATAGACATTCGTAGCACGGCTCAAGCAGTGGCTCACGGCTCCAACACTGAAATTTCCTCCCTTGGTGGGTTTCCTCCACGGCTCAAGCTATGAATTCTTAGGCTATAACTGCTTAAGGTTGCTTAATAATGAAGCACTCTTCCATGTTATGGCTTAAGGAAACATTCTTGAATGGTTTTCTCTATGGCTTAAACCCTTAGGTAGCGCTACAGCCGTGGCAAGGCATATTCTTCCAAAATGGTTGAAATCTCTTCTTTTTTTTCTTCAAAATGCATATTTAACTCCTTAAATTCATGTGTTTATGCAAAAACAAGTAAAATTGAGATAATTATCCCAAATTTAATACATAAATAAAAACAAGATAAATGTTAATTACACATTGAAATTTACTAATATTTTATCAGTCCTCACATTTAGCAACTCGGTTTCAATAGTTGGAAGCTTGATTTCAATAGTTGGAAGGTCAATTACAACATTTGGAAGCTCGGTTTCAGTAGTTGGAAGCTCGGTAGGACCTCTAAGACTTAACAACTTATAACTAAACCACTTGGATTCACTGTTTGGGCATTGTACTAACATAGTTTAACAACCTAGACAAATGGAAAAGGACCTAAGCACCTATAAACACCACACCAACACTAGGAAAATGAACCCTACAAAAATTGTACCCTGGAATTAACCCCTAACACATGGAACTAATCCTTATAGCAATTATCCCGCTAGAAGTACACTCTATAGCAATTGGAAACACTATAGAGAAACATGACAACAACTAAACCACTAGGAAAATACACCTTATAGAGACTGAACACTGGCCAAAAACCTTATAGCAACTAAATCACTGCTCTCCCTACACTAACTCTATCTCACGCAAAACCAACCCCTAGAACAACATGAAAACAATCCCTGACCACTCAAAAAATTACCTAAACCCTTACCTTGCACGAACACCACCATTGAACTATATATATTACAACAACCAACCACATTTGCACAAAATTTAACTAAGGTAGCTTCCCCAATACCTTAATCGATTCTAATATCTTTACTCTGCCCAAGGTTTCATAGCACAACCTATCCCTCCTCCATTCTCACGTCCTTGCTATCAACCAAGACTACCACTCACTATTTTAAATTTTCCCAGCCACTCTCTCACGATGCTCTCTATATTTCTCATTTAGGTTTTCCTTTTAAAACGTGACTCTTTTTCCCTATTACCACTCTCTTATTCACTCATCAAAATATCTTCTTTTCTAAAAACCTGATTACTCTTAATCCTTCCTTTCCTTTTTCTCTCTCAATCAACATAAATGCCAAAAATATGACGTTGGTTATGCCAAAAATACGTTAATATTCTGATTTCTTAATTACATTAGTTAGAGATATGTCTCCTAAACTGGTTTAAGTGTAATGTATCTATATTTTGAATCTAAAAACAACTACCGGAATGTAGAAAAATGAAAATGCTCCTATTAAGCATTTTAGGTAGGTTCGAATCCTTTCCCTCACCATACCAAGCAATCATCTCAACCAATAAGTTGTCACATTGTTATTGATTATAAGGTATATCATAAACATATTAGACATACAATTACATGTACTGTTGACAAAATAAATTGAATAAAAAAACAAAGATTCTAAGCTCTGAGCAAGATTTGAACATAAGACCACTTAACTCAAGAAGGAGCTCTCACCAACTAAGTTATACAACACTTGTGAAAACATGAGAATTTCATTAATAACATACATAATCCATATTACATCATCACTTCCAACCACTACATTTTCTCAAGTCTTATAATACTTCCTTGTAGTTTGAACTAGCTCATCTCCTCCTTAAAATTATAATAATCTATAATCATCAAGTATATTAGTTCATTTAGTGACTATTTTCTTAAAGAGGAACTACCTTAGAATTACAATGAGGTAAATCTAATGTTGTAAACCCTATAAATTATCAATAATAAAAGTAACATCTTTCAAAGAATATATATCAGTCAAAGAATCAAAATCCACTAACATACCACCACCATTACAAATTATTCTTAACAATATCCATCCACAACACAAACATCATCATAATTTGACTTAGACTATGATTGAGTAACAATTTTCCACACACTCTCTTCATAAAATCTACTCTAGTGGAAGGTCCACCATAAAAATCACATTATCTATGTAGACTTACATATTTCAAAATTTATTAAAATTCGCTACAAATTATATCTAAGAAAAGTATCAAGTAAATAGTTTTCAAAATTCAGAACTAAAAGTAAATTTAAATTTAAAGAGCGTAAAAAATAAATAAATTTAATTTATGAGATTAAAAGTACAATTAAAGTTATTTTTATTATATAATTGGGTACTGAAAATAGGTTGAAAAGAAAGTTGAAAGAAACGTTAAAAAAAATATAATATGGGGTAATAAATAATCAGAGAGGTGTAACTTACTTAACTGCTGTATAGATAGTAGGTAATCATTAAATTCAAAGTTTATATTATATATCAAAATAAATTATAATTACCTTAATTACAAATTTAAAAGAAATATTGAAAAACTTATAACTTTCATTTCAAAGTATAATTAAATAACCATACTATATACTATAAATAATATTTTAATTAAATTATTAACTTGATTGAAAAATATTTTAAATTATTTCCAAGAACGTTAATGAATATCTTTCTGTCTTTGTGAAAAACAAGTGCTTCTATAATGGAGTTAAAAAAACGTTCTGAATAATTTTACATTTTTTTCAAATAAAAGTTTAATGCATTGATAGCTGGCACTGGCAGGGATAAGTTAAAAGTTGTTTGTTTCTCTCAACTTTCAAAATCAAACAAAAAAAACCGTAACGAACTCTTCAAGTTCCACCGAGAAACCGGTGTCATTTGTATTGCTTGTCAGAGTTAGTGACTGAATCAGCATCCATGGACGAGTTGGGTTCCGCCTCATCTCCGTCGCGCCCGGTGACTGTCGACGGGGCTGGCGAGGACGCAGCGCTGGCGAAGTCGCGGTTTCTGACGCGGAAGGAGGTTCTCCAGCGGCGGCTCCGGCGAGTGAAGCAGCTAGGGCGGTGTTATCGGGCCCACTATTGGGCCCTAATGGAGGAGCTGAGGTCCAAGTACAGAGACTACAGCTGGACCTACGGGAAGAGCCCTTTCAAGGAGGGTCACAACGAGGGTGAGAATAACAATCCAAACGGCGTCATCACTGGCGTCGGTGGCGGCGACGATATCATGCGGTGTCGTTTTAGCGGCTGCAAGACTAAGGCCATGGCTATGACGAAATACTGTCACGCGCATATACTGTCCGATTCCAAACAGAAGCTTTATCAGGGATGCAGAGCTGTTGCCAAGAAGTGAGTTCTTCTTTCTACTGTGATTTTTTATTATTTCAAATTGAAACTATATCTTTGGATATTGAATTGAAAATGGAAAATAATGTGAAAAGTGAAATTAAAATTAAATATATAATAAAAATACACTTTAATGTCCTTTTTTTTTATTTGGAATGTTATTTCGTTTTGGAACCTTTATTTGTATTCTACTTTAATTAATAGAACTCGTGTTTGAGACTAATTGAATGATTGACTATGTATAGCTTAGTTTGATTGATTATATGAATAGGGTGGTTCTAGGGTCTGAGGTTAGTGGAAGAAGAAGTGAGGTTGTCGTTTTATTGTCTAATTTTTTCAATGAATTGTTTTTCTACAAGTTAGTTGTTTGGCCGTGGAAAATTGATCACTTTGCTGTGCTTCAGTTTACCATTTGCTATGTTTTAGCTTCGGTATCCACTAGGTTGGCTTAGTGTGGGTTTATTGATTACACAACTTTTGAAGCACCCAAAGTGAGACTGTGTTTGATTTGGCTTCGGTCATGTTGAATGCCAATCTAATATGAGAGGAGGATTGGGTTCTAGGAGAATTGGAAAGTTAGAATTTACTGAAACAATCACACACTGAAGTATGTGTCTTTTTTGCATTGTGAATGTAAAAGCAAACATATCCTTATGGTGTGTTTGAAACATCATTCCGTTGCCTTGAACATGAATCCTTCATGAGAGAAGCTTTCACTTGAATGGAGCTTTGGAATGTGTGTTTTACCTAAAACAAACACACACTTGGGGATTTTTTTTTTCCTATTAGAACAACCCAAACCTCAATTGAATTAAAACCTAGTTTCTTGTTTAGTGGAGTTCAATTGGAGTTTGAACTGTTTAAACTGAAAACAAACATGCCCTTAGTGTGTTTGGATTTTAGTCAGGAAATTAAGTTAAGGTGAACTCAATTGGAGTTGAAAGATGAATTTGGCTTTTAACTCTATTTCGAAAAAAAGTGATACATGTTTGTACAATGTTCAATGAAAACTAAAAGTTGGTTTGGGTGTTCCAATTGAAATCCAAATACACCCTTAGTAGTGGGGGTTTGGGTAGGGTAGTTGAACAACATTCTAGATTCAAACCTTTTTGTCGATGTTGTACAGTAAAAAAAATAATCTGTGTTTCTATACTTCTGTTTAGTTTCGGATAAATATATTTTCTAATTGATTTTTTAAGAGAAATAACAACCATTAATTTGTGTTTCAACCTCTGCTCTTTAGAGGCTCCCACATAATCTATATCTATGATATTAATTCATTTATGGGCTACCTCAAACATTTCTCTTGAGTTTATAAGCTAAAAGAACGAAAAAAGTGAATCCACATAATATGCAATAGAAGTCTAGGATTCCGAAAATTGAAAACTGTAATCTAACACATTACTTACTAGTTCAACCTGTTTGCAAATCTGTAATGCTTCGATAATTTTGTTACTCACTCTTATTTACCTTGTGACTCATGGTGTCAAATGAAAGCTAAACTCCTCTTGTGAAAATGAACTCATTTCTAAGTTCAAAGGTTCAGACTTGACACATGTTTTGTCTAAAAGAGTAGTTTGATTCAAATTCTTGATAGTATTCAGCTTATTTCCCTTTACCAGTCAGCATCTCTTTTAGGAATTGGTATGTTACATTACTTACAGGAATGCGTTTTTCAGAACTTCCAACACATATGTAGAACTTTGTAATTTCTGGCTATTTGCATGTCATATTAGCTTGCTAAATAGTGATAATTCAGTACTCACTGAACCTATATAAATCATGTTGCAATATATCAATTTTAGGTTCGATATGTAAGATCTTTCTTGTAAAATTTTAGATCTCTTAGCCTATTTTGCTAGATTATACTATTGAATGCGAGCTCTGTAATGAATACTGGTCTCCGTACCTACAATTGGTAAATCAATCTTTCTGTCTCTTTCCTTGTGCTGTAAACCTTTATGTTTGAATAATCTAGGCTAAGAATCTTCAGAATTTATAGTTCTCATCAATAAAGACATGTAGAAATACTAACCATTATAAAATAATCTAGGCTAAGAATCTTAAGAATTCATAGTTCTCATCAATAAGGATGTTTAGAAATACTAACCATTATCTATTGGGGAAGATTGATGCCTTAAAACTTGTAGTATAATATTTTATTTCTCTTTCCTCTTTCCTCATTTTAGATCTCAATACTTGATTTGAAACCTACAGACATACTTTATCAGGCAGATGCAGACGTGACTTCATTTTGTTTGGCTATATATCACTTCCGTCAATAAATAAGTAAAAGTTGTTAGGGTCATCTCACTTCATTTAATTATTTGACCATATTTATTTGCCACACGAGATTTCGGACATTTTTCATTTGCAATACTTTGTAATATCTGGAGCAGACAACCTTACTCACGGAGTTCTTGGCTTTTTTTCAGTTTGCCAACAGGGCCTTCATTTTGTAATAAGCCAGTATTGAAATCTGTGGTTCCTGCTGCATGCCCAACTCATCATCAATTTGGTGAAAGGTGTTTATCTCGTGCATTAAGAAGGGCTGGGTTAGGGAATCCTATCCCTAATAATCGTAAGCCTACACCGAAGTTTCATGTACTAGTTTCTGAATTTGTCCACCAAATTCAAAAGAAACGAAAGCTTGCATTGAAGGAAACTGCTCTCAAAGTTGAGACTGAATAAGAAAGTAAACCAGATTATAGAAAATATAATATCAAATTCCTAAAGATTTTTCTGTGTATAGAATGCATATTCTCGATTCTGAAAAATAGGATTATGTTTAAATACTGAAGCATTTAGTGCAAAAAAATCAAGGATTCTACACAAGTATGTTTGTAAAATTTTCTGTCCTTGTTTATCTTTTAGTCCTATTCGATGAGCAGCATCACAGCATACTCAACTGTTGTTTGTTCTTCTCATAAAAACCATAATTTTTGCTTGTTCTTCAAGTAAGAAATTTGTATATGCTTTTGAAGCTATTGCATGGATTGGGAATGTTAATCCTAAAATTTTTATTCTGGAGATCATGTCATGCCTAACTCACTTAATCCTGCGTAGAGTTGTTGATTTGTATATAGGAATGTGTTAGGTTCCAAGGTAGAGGAACCCAAGAACACTACTGTAAAACACCAAAGTTCACCGAAAAGATCTGGTATTGTGGATTCTAGGCCCCCAGAATAGCAAGAAAGCTTCCAAGGGACAAATTTCCCTTCACACAGCATGGTAATGATCCTATCAACAATTCTCTAAACATCCAAAAACCTCCCTCTGCCTACAAAGACCCCCCACTATATAAAGAAAGTCTCACTCAACCTAACAACGCAACTAACAACTAAACTTTTAATCTGTTTCCTCCTATCATACACATTATATCTTATCATTACACACTGCTGCAGAACAACCTTGTCCTCAAGGTTGGAACAGTGAAGCTTGATCTCATGCTTATCTTCATTAGCATGTTATCATAGGAAGGGAACTCACTGGCTATTGCCTGCAAATTCAAATCTGGAAGCATGGGTGGTGGTCGATGAGAGAATTGTTTGACTTCTTCTATTCCATTAATGATAAGAACTGCTTCTAACCAAAAGACCTGGAAAACCATTGGCTTCTTGCACGACTAAAAAATTTACCCTCTTTAGAACCCATTAGATGGGCAAATCCAGGCTCATTATAGTATGGTTTTGAATTCAAGATTAGACCTTGTATAGAGACCCGAACTTGTAAAATTGTTGAAAGACCTAGTTACTCCTTCTCATTCTCATGGCCAGACCCGATGTTAGATACACTAAGGCAAACTTTGCCCAAACTATATAAATTTGGGTTGAGCCAAAGCCTACCAGAGTGGTAGTGGACTTCCGGCGGTACAATAGGATAACTACTTGGGAAGAAAACATCAATAAGGAATAGGCCATCTTGATAAGGTGTTCCCTCTGCCCCAACAAATACCACCCTCAAAAAATCTATTATTGATTCATAAACTCTGAATAATATTGAATCCAGCAACTCCTCCTCCAATGACTTTTCCACTCTTCTTGGATTCTTTTAGCCCAATTTTGTGAAAATCCTCAAAATTTCATCTTTGACTTCATCGACTCTGGTAGCAACAACATTTTCGGAAACTGCTCCATTATTTCCAACAAAACTTGATTTAACATTATAATTTGAGAGTGGATGAAAACAAAAAACTTTATTCGACCATATATCATTACTAAATCCAGTTCCAGGAAAATGAAATGAAGATTCAACTAGATTTGAATGATTCATGGTGTTACTTCCATCTCCTGTCAAACTCTCACGTAAAATTTCCACATTTCCAATTTGTGTTATTGCTGCCAAACTCTCACATAGCATCCTTCTCCTGTTCCCTTCAGCTATCTTTAGTAGAGTTGTTGCCAGATCTTCCCAAGAAAGGTTCTTGGATTTTTGGTGTCAGGTCTTGAACCCCTAGACTACATTTTCTTTGCTGTTTGGGTGTATTTTTGTTGATCCTTTGGTGTTCTGAACTTTAGAAGCATTTGTTGCCCTTTTTGTTTGACCTTGGGTGTCAGTCCCTTCATACGTGGACAACTCCTCTCTTTCCACACATGGAAAAACTGGTTCTTCCTCACCCTTCCTAGTTCCATTATTGTCAATGGCATCCTCTTCTCCTTTCTTCTCCCAATTGATTGAACTTTCTCCTCCACCTAAGGGTTTCTTCGCTTTCTTGATGTCTTGTAGAAGTTCCTCTCTTCTCTCCTTTCTTGCTCTGTAAACAGACTCAACTAGGTCGCTCATTGACACCACTGTTTTAACCCCAAGCCTCTTTCTTCCTTCTTCTCTTCATCATTAGCCAAGTACTCTCCTTTTTCAGAGAATTTCTTGCCTTCCTTGATGTTTTGCAGACTATACCATGATTCATGAGTTCCTATAGCATGTCTTTTATTTTTTGGATGATTTCCCTTATTTCTTGCATACAGTTGTTTTTTTTGTGTCATGGCTCTTCCTTGATTTCTGGCCCCTCTCTCCAAAGTATTTACCTTTTCTTCCATGCTTCCACCTCTTTCTTTATCCGGCAGGTCGGACCAATTTGTTAGGTTCATAGGTAAAGGAACCCAAGAAAACTATTGTAAAACACCAAAGTTTACTGAAAAGATCTGGTATTATTGATTCTAGGCACCCAGAATAGAAAAAATGCCTCCAAGGGAACCCTTCACCAAGCTGGTATTGATCCTGTCAACAATTCTCTAAACATCCAAAAATCTCCCCCTGCCTACAAAGACCCCCCCACCATATAAAGAAAGTCTCATTCAACCTAACAACCCAACTAACAACTAATTTTTTAATCTGTTTCCTCCTATCATACACATTATATCCTATCAGAATGTGATAAGAAACCTACGAGATGATAGGACAAACAGAACTTACAGAAATGTTCAAGACAGACTCTTGAATGATTTTATTATTAACAAGACTGTTTCTGCCAATGGTAGAAAACAGCAACAGAGGGCAACAATTGGGGTTCCTTTGAGAGGACCTTGGTCCACCCCTTCTTTCCTTTCTAGAAAACAACAAGCTAGCCTCCCTAAAACAAACCCTGACTATTTATAATAGTCAGCTACAAGGAAAAGAACTATAGGAGGTTATAACTGTCACATTCAGTTATTCCTCCTTTTTTATATACAAGGTCAAACCTATCAAGGTCTTGTAAATCCCACATTAGAATCCCATACCTTGCAATTGAATTCTAACATAATGAATTTATAAATTCCATATAATTCATTTTTTATTTATAAGTTTAACAATATTTCTTTTGTGGCTCATAGATGAAAGAAGGCCTATGAAAGAAGGCCTATTAGTTGACATGTAAAATTTTGATTAATGTGAAAAGACCAATAGAATAGGGAAGTAGAATTAACAAGACTCTTTTTTGACTTGTTGCATCTGATGGGCATTATAGTTGTTATATTCTTGTATTGCCAGGGTATCCAAGTCCCGACACCCTGAATGATGATTAAATCTTTCTATTGTATTTTATAGTTTCATTTCTGAACAATGAAATACTTGCTATCAAACATTTAATTAAGCATTACTACCTCGATCAGTCATGTGTTTGCAGATGCTGGTTGATGCAAGTTACTCATTATGAATATGTTGTTTAGTGACATGATACGGTCTTGTTGGAGAGACAAAGAAACGATTATTATCTGAGGACCCAATCCCCACCTTGTATTTATAGGACCCATTAATTATATTTAATAAAAGTTCGTCACTCTCTAGCATGGCCATACTGTTCAACAACATAAAAGGATCCAATTCTTGTCATGTAGTTTCTTCTGTTACATGATGGCTTTTAAATTTTTTAAGTGCTATGGTGTTGCTGTCCGGATTTCTTCATTTAATTATTTACCTATTATTTTTAAGAATGATTTTTATTGCATTATCTAATGGTTGGCCTTTCACAAATATCTTAAAGGCCATTTCCATTAATTCATGGAGAAAAAGAACTTCTGGTTATTTGAGTGGTGTCTAAACATATCTATGGAAGTAGGTGCACAGCCAGATGGTTCTGAAGTGAAAGGAGTAGTTCTGAGAATAAAAAGGGATAGAATATCAAGGCTGGAGATTTTTACAACAATATTTGATTTTACATGTGCAATTAATATAATTTGATCAAGTAATTTTACTAGTTAATATTTCATTTTAAAAGGAGTCAAGAACTGGATAGTAAAATTGACAAATAATTTTATGATTTATCATAATATTTCTGTTAATATCGCGTGATTAATGCTTCACATGTTTTAAGTGGCAATTTTAAAAATGGTCATTTTAAAAATTTGAGGAAGTGCAAAGAAATTGTGGAAATGATGAGACTGTCGTAGTAATTTCCATTAATGAAAATATGATACATGGAAACAAAGACAATACTAAATAATAATTGAGGCTTTGGTCATAGTAATTGTTCAAGTAAGTAAATCAAAGCCTACGTTTAACCAATAGTATGTATGTGTATGTAAACCCCCTGCCAACATCTTTTTTATTAAAAAACAGCTAAAATCCCCAAAATTAATAGAACCCCAAACGTGACAGAAAATGCAGATTCCAGACTCTCACCCTGCTTAACAAATCACAACCCTTTTTATATGCCAAGGGTGATCAGGGAGGGTACTGATAGTAGGGTTTTGAATTATCTTCTTTACAAATAATTTTAATTTATATAAAAGCCAAATTTTTATTTCTTTTTCTTATTTTTCTCTCGTAAAAGGTTTTATAGAGATATTGACACTTAATGCTGCAGTCAATGTGAGAATTCAAGTATATGATTCCAATAAGGAAGCTGCCCAAAAATATGACATGCATTGCAGAAGCCAACTTCATAGCATAAGAAAGGTTAGCTAAAGATGGCACACTCACCATAATCGCTAAAATGGGTTCCAAGCATCAGAAGTTTGGATAGAATCTCCATTTGACACTCTTTTTACCCTTTTTTCTTCTCAACAGAAAGACAAAATAATCACAAGCATTTAGATCTCATCCCTTTCTCCAATTCCAATCTTTATGTTTTTGCTTATGGGTAAAACAGCTCTGAGACTTTCTAATCTAATAATCACAAAAGCATAACGTCTCTAGTTATGTCACAAGTTCTGTTCATTTGAATGTTTGATATATTCTAGAACGAAGACCTTTCATAAAACATATAACATATACATGTATTTTCTATTGCAGTTTTCTATGTTGACAACATGAAGATAGAAAACTGCAAGAAGAAACTATCCTGTGTTCTTTCTCTTTTTCGAAGCCTTCCCACCATAGAAGAATCCTGTGGCGTACCGTGAATTGGCAAGCTCCCGAGGCACAGCTGCTCCACCAGATTTCAGAATATCAATTAAGTCTGGAAAGACATTCTTGTTTTCCTCATTCACAAAAACTATACCTTCACCTTCTTCTCCCATTCTAGATGCCCTTCCAATCTGATGTACGTATTCCTTAATGGAATTAGGCATGTCAAATACAATAACCTGTCTTACACCCAGCAGATCTACCCCCCTGCCTAAAACTCCAGTAGCTACAACCACTGGGACCTCACCAATAAAAAAGGACTGCATTATTTCTCTCCTTTCCTTCATAGACTTCTCCCCATGAATTGAAACTGCTTTAATTCCAGTGGCAACTGTAATTGCATTAGCCAGAAGATCTGCCCCAAGTCTGGATCCCACATATACTACAACAGGTGGCTTAAAATGCTTCTTAGTTGTCAAAATGTCAAACAATTTCTGTTTCTTTTGCTTTGACTCAACCCAAATAGCTACCTGCTTCACAGCCTTATTTGCTCTATTAGGTTCTCCAACAGAGATAACCACTGTACCTTTCGCCAGCGTGTTAATCATCTTCTCTAAATCATTAGACATTGTGGCACAATACATCAAGACCTGGGGTTGTGACAGAGCCCTGTATATCTGCATGACCTGATCTCTAAAACCCCTTTGCAGCATACAGTCCACCTCATCCACAACAAAAGTCATGACATCATCCAAGTCAATCTCATGCTTACTTAGAAGATCAACAAGTCTTCCCGGGGTTCCTACAATCAATTCCACCCCTTGTTGAATGCGATGGAGTTGTCCAGCCATGGCGTCACCACCAACCACAAGTGCAGTTTTGAAAGGCAATCCCTTGCCAAGCATCTTAGCATGCTCTTCGACCTGTATACAGAGCTCTCTGGTGGGTGTTAACACCATAACCAAAGGCTTCTTAACTGAAACATATTGCTGGCGATGAATCACACAACGAGAAACTATAGGAATAAGAAACGAAGCAGACTTCCCAGATCCAGTATTGGCCAAAACAAGCATGTTTTTGCCCGTCAAAGCAGCAGGAATTGCTTGCATCTGGACAGGTGTAGGCATGTCATATCCTGCTGCTTCTATATTGTGGAGTAGCTTATCAGGGAGGTTACAGGCATAGAATGACAAAACCGGTGCCACTACATCACCCTTCACATGAATATCAAGTTCCGTTCTAAGATCACTAGCCATAGATGCAGTCCCTGATTTGTTATCAGCATCACTAACATAAAAGCATTCATCAGACATAGGAATCTTTTTAGGTGGCAGAAGATTTCCAGAAGGAGCCAATGATTTCGCAATTCTTCCAAGCAGTGCCTGTTTGCATTCCAAACTGCAAACATCATCATCAGTTTCATCACATATGTATTCACCGTAGCGGCCGCATATAACACACTTAGGCTCACCTTGCAGAGCCAGTCTTTGGTCCCTAGACCTCAGCTTGACATCTTCCCCAGCATCTAAAATCACAAACAAAAAAATGAGCTCAATTGGGTTAATATTTTCTGAATTCCCAAAACACATCTCTAGAAGACATAGCAGTCCAGATCAAGGCATCAAAAGTAATACAGAGAAAGTATCTCAAAAATTAAATCACAATAATCATTCAATATAAGAATAAACCCTAAATTTCATCCCTGAAGGATTAACCTTTTTACTAAATGATGTCTGAGGTAAACCAAAAATTAATATATCCCCTAAATAGTGAAAAAACCGTCAAATTGGTAACTGAACGTTGATGGGCAAGAAAGAGGGTGCAGAAACTAAAACATGAAGATCAAAATTAAGGAAAATAAAATAGAAGGCATTACCCTCTGGTGCATCAGCATCGGTACCGAGAGATGGGTTGTTGTGATAGGCGTGAGGATCAGTCATGGAGGAAAAGGATGCAGAAGAAGAGGGTTTGGTTAACCAAAATTAGGGTTATGAGAAATAAATTTACTGCCCCCTGCAACTGCGTGCAATGCTTCAATCGCTCAAATGTGAAAGGTGGAACTAAAACTGAACTTGAATTACGACTGCTTCAGGAACAGTAAGAACGGTGGTGTGCGGCGGCGAGGGGAGGATCATAGCAGAAGAAACAAGAAGCGGATTTTATTTTTACGTAAATAGAAAAGATAAACTTTTAATTTTATTTTATTTGCTCATTACCAAGTTCGAATAAACATTACGTTTACCATTATAATATCATAGATAAGATTAATCTCTTCTAGATTAGATCAAACTCTTATAACAAAATACAAATGTAATTTTAGTCTCATTTTCAATTATGAAAGTTAAGTCCTTTAAATATTTAGTTGACATGTTATTAAATAGTTGAGATTTAATAGAACTTTAAAAATGAGTTCTTATTGGATTTAATAGAAGATTTTATATCTTAGGATTAAGATATTAGAGTGATCAAGTTTATTTAAGTCAGAAGTATATTCTTTTTCGTTAAAAATAATGGAAGAATCCTCAGTTAGACAAAGCACAGTTTGTTAATAATTTACGTTATAAATTAAATTTAATATAAATATTTTCCATTCAAATTAATTTGATGTTAACATTAATTATGAATGCCAATTTTTTTATTATTGTTTATCTTAACAAAATATTAAAATAATTAATATTATTAGTCGTAATTATATTTTGTAACATTTTTAATGGTGCCAAAAAAAATTTAATTAAATATTAAGAATAATTAATTCTAATCTTTAATCTTTAAATACTGTTATTGAATTTATATTAACATAAATTTAAAATATTTACAAATTATTATTATGATTAATTATATTGTATCATTTTTTAATATTACTCCTATTTTTTTTTGTCAAATATAAAACAAATTCCTAATATTTTAAATTTTATACATTTTTAAATTATAAAAAATATATTAGATATACTTTTAATAGCATTTATATATTATTATAGTATAAAAAATAATAACATAAAAAAGTTTACAATTCAAATATATTTAATTTTAAAATATTTATTCCCATAGTATTATATAAAATTTTGTTAAATATAGAGAACTTTATATGAAAAGTTAGTAGAAAGCAATAAGAAAATGTTGATAGAATAACATGTTTCAAAACTTTAGATTCATTTTTTACATGAAATTATACTCAATTATTTAGATTAAACAGATCAAACATATAAATTTTTTTTATTCTTATCCACTTTGTACTATGTTTAATTCTTTCTTAAAAACATCTTAAAAGATTTCATTAATCAAACAAATTATTACAACGAGCAGACTAACATCTTTAGGTTACAACAAACATACCAACCTTTACTAGTAATAATGAATACATACCTTTTTAATCCCCTATTAAGTTAAAAACATAAAAATATATATAAAAATACTCTAAAATATACTTAAACTCACAAGGAAAAAACTTCACAAGACGAATATTATAATAGTTTTTACACACTTTTTTTGAATGCACTAGACCACTTGATATGAACAATTAGATGATTGCTTCATGGACTTTGTATAGCTCTGCAAGATTGAATTGTGTATCACTCTTATTCGTTACTTTGTACCATATTCAAAGCCTTGAACTTCAAAAAGTCAAAAACTATTATTTGTTACCTACCATTCCTAAGACCTCTAAATAGGTTTTCTCTAGATGGTACGATTACCATGTTCTTACAAGAAGAGAGATTTTTTATTTGGAAACTAATGCAAAAAGCATACCAAGATGGGTGACGGGTTACTATGTCTCAAACAATATTGTTTTTGCCAACGTCCAACTCTCGCTTGAAAGAGATACTGCATACACCTTGCACTAGATGCTACAAACAACTATATATGTGGCATGTAGAGAACAATGTTCGTGTTCTAGCATGGCAAAAATGCTTGACAAACCAAGAGGAAAGCCTTATGTCTTGTTTTGGAATGCCAGAAGCATAAAAAAGCTACAAAGGACAAAGAGGTTCAAGCTTTTGGTTATGAGGTAGGGTTAGACAATTTGAAGTAATTATAATTGTTTAAGATATGCTCGATGCAATTAGAGCATAACTGAAAGCTTTACCAAAACAACAATGTGCTATGGGAGAGAGACAAGCTCAACAACATGTAGAGCAAGTTGTCACTAACTTTGTTACTCAAATTCAATCTTCTTTCACCTAATTGGTCCAAACCTTCAACCTTTCTCTAAACCCCTTCATTTGTTCTCAATCTCAACAACCTTGACCTCCTCTACAACAAATATGTTTTTTTATCTTTTATTCACCTTTTTGTAGCTACCAAAAAAGGAGAGAAGTACATATGATTTTGTATTTTGTTCACATTTTGTTTTATTTGCATTTTTTTATTCCTTGTATTTTCCTTGTTTTATTTTGTATTCATATTTCTTTATATAGTTTTAGTACTATACTATGAGTATTCATCTAATATGGTCTAAATTTTTATTTTCTCTTATATTAGATAATCTTATTCTCTTATATTAGATACTCTTATGAATGTTTTCTACATTGTTTTAAGTTATGATATCCTATAACTTAATAACTATGATAGTATGAAATATAATACTTTACATTTTGATCATTAATGTGTTGTGATGCATTCTTATATTATACTCAGATACTTCAATTAAAAAGTGTTTTAAATATTTCACAATTATAAAATTTTGTCATCAGAAAAAAAATGAGAGATTATTAAGACTAGATGATAATATCTCATTAGACAAAAGTTCTAAGTGATTTTGATGATAACAAACACTATCATAAAAGTATATATTATTATTCAATTTACATGTTTAGTTATACAAATGAAAGATCTCAAAATTATTTATCAATTCTCACATAAAACCAAATTTATTATAATTATAATACAATACAATTTTTATTATACAAAATAATTATTATTCAATTAAGATGTTTAGTTATTGATAAGTGCTCAATATAAGCTAGTTTTGATGATAATTTGACACTTATTTTGTTTTGATGATGTTAAATGTCTACGTTAATCATCCAAATTAAAACAAACTAATCTCAGCGCGACTACAACGTAAAATCTGAGGCTTGAACCACACAAAGAAAACACACTTTTGAGGGAAACCTCAAGCCCTAAACTGAGGCTTAAGCCATTGATAATCTTTCACCTAGAAGTAGTTACCTAGAAAGGTGGTAGGCGTGGGTATCATGAATTAAAATAATCAATAGGATAATGAAAACAACACCTTCAACTACTACACATTCAAGACTTAAAACGTAAAATTTTTTCAAACTAGAATTATCACTACACCATGACTATTACAAGCATCATCTTCAAAAAGTATCCATAAACTTAAACATTTAACATCCATAACCTATATTGCACCTATAATAATCTTAGTTTCATAACAAAGAAAAAAAAAAGAACACGCACATCCTTATCACAACAACAAACCTAGATAGCCATCACACCTGTACAACGAATTGACCAATGCATTCATAATAACCAAATAAACAAAATGATAGCTTCCTTTACCTGATTTTCCCGTTAAGCCTATTTTTTAGAATAAACAATGTTCTTTACTCGATCAAACTCTCAATCTCACGACACCCTCAAAGTTTTTACCTTTTTTCCTAATGACTAGGGTTTCTACCTTAACATAATATAAATAGAAGTCCTACCTAATCCTGCTGGGTTTATTTTTCTAAACCTCTATAAAAACTCAATATTCTAATTGATTTTGACAAGTCCTTAAATAATATATTTTATTATTATTATCTAACAATAATATCTAATTATATGTAATAATATCTCAATATATCTTTTAATTTGTAAATATACGTAGAATATAACAATATTCAAGAGTATTTTTTAAAATAAAATAAACTCTTTAAATATAAATAACAACCATTTTATTTTTTAATTAAAATAGTTAATAACATTTATATATTTCTCCTTATTTAAATTTCTAGAATCTCATATTCAAATTTATTAGGTTTAATTATTCAGGAAGTCCCTTTTTTGGAGCAGAATCTCAATTTCGTCCCTTATTTTTTCGGTTTCTCAATTGGATCCAAATTTTATGAAAATTGCAACAATTGGGCCCCAACCGTTAAATTGGGCCCAACGCCGTTAAGCTGTGTTTGACGTGTCACGCTGGGTCCCGTTTTGTAATTGACATGTCACGCTGGATCCCCTTTCGCAATTGACGTGGCACGCTGGGGTGAATTTTTGAATTCACGTGTTTGATTGATGTGCATTTAGGTTTTTTATTAAAAAAACAACTTGGTAAAGTGTGGGAGAAAAGTGGAAGGGAGATAAATTTGTATAAATGTGTGCTTGAATCCCTAATAACAGCCTGAGTTTTCATTGAGCTTGTTCTTCTTCGAAGGTGGATAAGTTCGTTGTGGTTGAAGATGGCCCATTGTTGTTCATCTTCGTTATGCAGTGGGTGGCGGAAGGAAGACGATAATGTGGTCTGTGTTGGTGGTCGAGGAGGATGTAGC